CCTGCCATTCCATCATAGTGACCCTATTTTGGAGGCTCTGGTAAGGCTGAAGCAGCTGATACGGTGTCCGCTACTGGTAGTTCATGCTGTGCGGTTCCCAAAAGCTTTGGTCCCGCTTTCCTTATGAATGGCCTCAGAGAAATCACAGGGTAGAATGTGACCATCCACGTGGAAAAGGGTTTTTTCCTTCTTCAGTGTCCACATACGGTAGCAGCCGCTCAGAGCTCACGTGACCCTGCGCTCCCCAGTTACCCCTTTGCCTGATCCTTGAGGATGGAGAGCTGAGCAAGGTGAAGTGGAGAATTGAACTTCCATCCTCGTGAAGACCCTTTGCTTGGTGGGGTTTGGCTCTTGCCCTGGTTGCCAGGGTTGCCAAGCTTTTCAAAGGAAATTGTGGGAAATATCAGAGGGATTTTCTTCTTGGAGAGAGCCACAAGGTGGAGCAAAATGATTCCAAGTGCTCCCGTGTTTGACATCTCCCTCTTTCTGTCTGAAAGCATCAACAAGAAAAGCTGTTAGAGACCCACTACCAAGCTGGAAAAACCTGCTCCTTAACGTCAGGATGTCGTGGGAAACCATAAGGCTGAGTTTCAATCTGCTGCTGTGCTTTGGAACTTCAGTGGGAGAGGTCTGCGCCCAAGTTAAAGGCAGGCCGGGTGGACTCGGGAGTTTTGCTGTCTGTCCTGTTGGCGTATCTCGTCAGACTTTCAAATCCGACAGTAACTTGGGTTTAAGACAAAAATCCTTGTGCTGCTTTGGCCAACACCACCCACACTTTTCACCTCTGGCCGAACAGAAATTAGGTCAAGTGTCTTACCGGTTTGTGACTTGCCGTATTCCCTGGGTCAGCGTGGGTGCTTTTTTCGTGCGTGGGAATGCGCCTGGCGTTTCCTGAGGCTGCATTTTGTGTGTTACAGGCCACTATTATTCCACAGGCCTTTGCTTAGAAAACAATCTTCTAGATAAGCAGCTCACAGCCCTTACTTAGGTTGGCCTAATTATGTCACCTCTGGTCTGACGCTCTCAGAGCGTCTTCTCCTGCCACTGATCCCACGGGCTGCCCCACGTGTTGCTCAGAGTGGTGGGTTCAGCTCCCCAGGGACTGCAGGCCCACTGGTTGCCTGTGCACGGCTGAACTTTGCCTCGCCAGCTGCTACTGCCCCGCAGGACTTTGGAAACCGGAACTTGATGGTCGTTGCACTAGATAGGAAGGAAACAGGTTGTTACTTTATGAGCACATGGAGTGCCGTCCTTCAGCAGCAGGCTTGAAATGAGGTATCGATGCTGAAGGCTGTTGTACAGACTGGGAATTGTGTGAGTTTCCTACAGATAGTCAGGATCGATGGATCCAGACTTGCCATGTGCAGCTGTGGCTGCTTTATTGCTGCTTCAATTTTTACTTGTGTTTTCCAGGCCACGCAGTCGGATTGAATTCAAGGAACAGAGCTGCTTGTCAAATCTCTGTTGCTTCCGCTTCTCCCATGTTTTGCGTCGTTCTGGGCTTTGTATTGAGATGCTGTCAAATCTGAAGTGGTGCAGAGAGGACACAGGAATACAACCCGTTTACTCTTCAGGCTGTTGAGTTTGTACCTGCACATACAGCAGTGCTCCAAGAAGGGAGTGTTTTCCACATTTCTCTTTCGCTGTGGAAAGAGATTTTTTTTCTTCCTTCTCAGTTTTAAATTGTTGCCCCTGGGAGGACTCGCTGGGAGCCTGAAAAAGCAAAAAATGCCAAATAATTTTGTCTAGAGAACTGTTTTGCATGAAGAAGTTAAATGGTCAGTGGTGAGGGCCTTCTGGATGTGGAGCTTTGCCCACTAAAGCATGGCCAGGAGATTCCTCTCATGGTGTCCTCAAGCTTTGCTCCAAGGGTGTTTGCTGGTGGGCCCTCTGTGCTAGCCTTGGCCACCCAAACACTAGCCAAAATGCTCGGGCTTGCAGGTCACGTTAACCTTCCTTGTCTTTTTGTTCTTACAGAGCTGACCCTGAACCCACCCGAAGGGATAGTAGCAGGTGAGGAGCTGGGCAGGGTTCGTGCACTGTGAAGCTGCAGCCTTGCATTCAGGCAGCACTAAGCCTTGCTTTGTTTTTTCTTAACAGGTCCTATGAATGAAGAGAACTTCTTTGAGTGGGAAGCTCTGATTATGTGAGTTAATAGTGTTCTGTGTCTGAAATCAGTGCTTGCACGCGACGATCAGCTTCTGGGAGAACGAGAATGTAAAAAGAAATAATAAAAATCGTATCAGTTCTGCGTAACATCGACCTTGCCCTGCCTTTGGCTGGAAAATTCTTTTCTGGTCAAACTGGGAATTACATTTGGAATTTAAGCAGTGTGACAGGCAGCGTTGAGGCTCATGTGTTCGTTTGTTGTAACAAGCCACGCTCAGTACATGTAACTTGCAAATTTGACAGGAGTCCCTATTTGGTGCTCCCTTGGGTATATGTTGTGTATACAAACCCTGTAGGAAATGAGGAATTGCTTGTAGGTCACACAGACCTGCTGGGAACATTACCTAACTGCACATCAGGACAGGTTTTGCTCATGTTTTAAGTAGAGCAAAACACACAGATTATCAGCGATAGGAGAAAAAAAATCAGTGTCTGAAATGAGTTTACTTACTATTCAGATTTTTTCTAGGAAAAAGGAAGGGGATTGAGCTGAGAAAGCATTCAAATTTAAAAAAAGGGATTGTTTTGAAATTTTTCACACTTCCTGAATCAGCTGGTGTTGTAAGGACGGGTGCAGTGGTTCCATGTAGAAACCTCTTCTGTTGGCGAAGAGCTCTGGTTGGTACCTGTTGTGTTTTGGGGGATGACAAAGACTTCTTCACAAAGCCTTATCCTCCCCCTCTTCTCCCAAACTGATGGGTACGTTGTTTGTAGCAAAACCTGCCGTGAAAATACGGTATCTTCTTGTCCAGCATCTTACAAGTGGCCCTCTCTCTTGCTTGTACTCTCTTGCCCTGGAATTAAAAGATGAAGAAGTTCCAAACTGCCAAGTCTTGCCTTGAAGCTGGTGGTCCATTGTTGGGGTAGATCCAGGCTCCGTATTTCGGGATTCCTTTAGCGAGCGTTAGTGATTTCCTTTCCTTCAGACAGGGCCAGGGGGTCCGGAGGAGGTGGGGGCAGCTGGCGGCAGCCGTGGCCCCGCTCACAGCCTGCCTGCTGTCCCCTTGCAGGTTGTCACTGCAACCACCAGTGCTGACTTAGGAGATTCTCAGTTCTGAGTGGGTGGCAGAATTTTCCTAGCTCAGTTTGCTTGGGGTTTGTTGTCTAGGGACAAAACCCAAGATTTTTGTCTCTTGGGATCAGGCACGCAACCAATACAAAAGCATCCCAAGCTGTGGCATATCGCTTACTCCACACGAGCTGGCCGAGTGGGTGACCCTACTTCATAGCAAGCCTGAGCCTCTGAGTTATTTTAGGCCTTGGTAAGTGGAGGTTTGGATTACCACTGCTTGTTTGGTGATTGATAGAAAGAGCTGGCAAATGCCTCTGCTTATGTGCAGCAGTTTATTGCATGATGAGCAGGTTGTACTTCCTGGTAGCTCCGTCCCCTGAAAATAAGCCTTTGGCATGGAAGTGGGTAATTTGTTGCCTGACACCAAAGATTTTGGCTGCAGTGTCCTACGCTTTCTCTTTTTGCAGGTGGGATAGCTGTCACTCTCCTGAGATGTGCGCTTTGTAACGTACCCAGTTTCAGTTCCGACAGCTGCGCGTTGGTTGGAGGGTAGAAATCCCAGAGGGTTTAATGCACTTCTTGGAATGTGGAATGAAATTCCTGCCTGTTGGTGCTTTCTCATAGCAGAGGTTGTGTGGTTGAGTAGAGCTTTCACGGGGGACACACAGAAGTACTTTTGGATTTGATTCATTACCTAGAAAATACCTTTTCTGCTGTTTCCCATAACAAACTCTTAAAGAACAGAGAAGCCGCTTGCAGACTTGAAAGCCCTTTAAAGTGCTGAGTGTTGAGCTTCTGGTCTTTGTCAGCACAAAACGAGGGGCGGAGGTGCTTTAATTTTGTTTCTGTATTGTGTGTGTGTCATAGTAAAATTATATTTTAAGATCTGCAAAATTCTGAAGCTGTGGTACAATAGAAACATGTTTACCCTAAACACGTTGGGTTGCTTTCATCTCTTTACGAAACTCTGTTAGTAGAGGTGTTTGCGTACCTTTGGAAAGCAAGCTAAATTACTTGTTTGTGTTTGTCTGTGATGATCTTCTCAAATGTGCTGTGTGAGAGTCTGGGAATGAAAGAAGTGCAGATGAGGAAATTAAAGTTGGCTCCAAATTTTTAGACAGATGAAGTGCAAAAGGTAAGTAAGTAGTGTAATAATGAAGAGAACAGGATACTCTTTATTTTTTAATTTCCCCCCCTTTGCTTCATTTATGTAAAGCTAGAGCACGTGTAATGGCAAGTAAATACTAAAAAAAAAAGAGTGAAGAGAGAAAAGACATGCCCATTTATGTATTAGTTCAGAGTGGGCTGGGTAATGTTACACGGATTGATTGATGGAAGAGCTTGGCTCGGAGATAAAACGATGCCTTGTAGAATAATCTGCATTTCCGGTGTTGTGCCCGCAGCAGCAGTGCTGGATAGGTGTTACACATACAAATGTTAAGGCTGTATTGACACGTCTGAAGGATAGAACAGCTCTTATGCTCCAAAGGGAGTGTAGTAGATTCAGAACTGAAAATACCACGTGGTCATCTTTCTGAGCAGCGGAGGTTTGGAGCCTGGCGTAAAACGTGCCCTTCTGGCCAGACACCGAGCGGTGGCTGAATTAGAGTATTTATGAGAGCCAAATCTTTGCAACAAGGTGACTTAATCGTGGTGATGAGTAGCCCCAGCATGTCAAGAGAGTTTACCACGATGCCGCTCAATGTCGTAGCGCTGTGTGGGGTCAGTCCTACAGTGACTGAATTTAACGTTTTGAGACCAAGTTTTCCTCTCTTCGGTTGGCATATACAGGTGTGTGTTGCCATAAAAGTTTATCCCCAAAAGACACACAAGCACATAATTGCTAAGAACTTCATGAGCCTAAAGATTGCTTGAAAACTAAACAGTATAAATTGAAGTCAACGTATGAAAAACCTGTCTAGAGAAGTAGTTAGAGCTATAATTAGGCTTATGACTTTCATGTAGCAAGGAATTCCCCTTTTTGGCATCTGATGACTCTGGGGTTTAGTCTGTTGTTTTCAGTGTATTTTTACAAATAACCCATTTACAAACGTACGTGAAGCTGTGATTACAGAATAATTGTCCGTGTTCGTGCACTTCTCCCTCCTGTTTTGGCAGACACCCGCCATCCTCTTCTTCCCCTTGCCTCCCTAGTAGCCAGCTCTTGGAATTCTTATGTTCATGCTGTCTCTCACACCACTGAACAGTCTGGTTTCTAGCAAGTCATTTAATGCCATATAATGACCGTAAGAGGACTGGTGTCCACTCCTCAGTGCTGCAGGGAGGTCTGTAGAGTAGCCCCACGTGCAGAAATAGGTGCGGAGACCACCAGCTTTGCAGGCCGTGAGAGTCTTAGGTGGAGCAGGTTCAGGACAAGGTTTTTCCTAGTTCCATGCCTCAAACACACGCAGAACGAGCGCCTTCTGCGTGCACAGGGTTAGCGATGGCAAGGGCTTTGTCTCTCTTGGGGTACGGGAGCTGCTTAAGGCAACGGGGCTGTTGGCTCAGTGCTCCCTGCTCGGTGGGACATGGTCTGGGTGTTCTTGGAGGAACCCTCACAAGTGCCGGGCAGTCTGGGCTTAGCTGGCACAGCAGCTCAGACGAGGTCATGGCGTGAGGCACGGAGGCTTTGGATGTGGTGTACTGCGAAATCTTTGCAGAGGAGGTGGTGTGATGGCAAAAGGTGCTGTGCTCTTTGCCTCGCTGGCCCTGCCAACGTCCTTTTTGAACTGAGTAGATGCTGTCAGGTTTAAACGTTGTGGCCCCCTGAGCGTTCTGTAGTTGCAAACGCTGTCTTGGATTAACTTTAATAATTTCTTTGAAGTTGATCCTGGCAGCAATGACTGGCTAAACCAAAAACATTTAGCTCACATCATACAGGGCCTAAAATGGAGCATGTTGGGTTAACATTTTTGACAGAAGAGCCCTTAAGGCTGTGTGTTTGCTCTCAAAACAGAACATAAGACACCCACCAGCTTTTCAATGCGTGTATGTACATACTCTTAGAAGTTCAACAATAAGCCTTTAAAATGCAGCTGGAATTAAAATGTTCATGAAAAAAAATGCATTCCGTTTACTCTCAGATGTGAATTGAATCCTGACTAAATTTAGGGAAACGGCCAGAAAGGGAACAAAATGGTTGAGATGGTTTAGCTTTCGTTCCTGCAGTGTGTCGGCACGTTTCTCTAACCTTGCCTGCCAGTGTCAGTGTTCAGGTTTTGGTCATGGAGTCTGTCGACCATCCACGTCTTTCAAATCCCAGAGTTTGAGAGTGAGCCTCCTAGGGCTTTAGGTTTTGCGGGTCTCAGTTTTCTGTTTCTGTAGGTTACCAATTGCAGTCCTAACTGTCAGGAGTCCTTCAACTTTTAGGTTCTTTCTGGCATGAAGAACACTGACTGGGGGGAGGAGGCATGAATATGTTCCTGAACCTTATTTCCCAGGCAGTATAACCCTTGTTTGAAGTGCTTTTTACTGAATACATGAGGTTTCCTTGGCTAATATTTCCAATGGGGAAGCTTGTTTCGTGCTCTTCCCAGTCAGGAGAGACCATGTTTATGTAATAGCTTCCAGATGGTTCATCAGATGTGAATAAATCATGTCTAATAAACTTTTTTTGCTCACCTTCCAAAACCATTTTCTGTAGGGAGGTAAAATAGTTGTCTTTACATTCTCAACCTGATTGCACTTTGAACTAGATGGCGAGCACAATAAGGAAGTGTTTCTACACGAACCCCGATGAAGCCATCTGGTCTCGGTGTGCACTCCCGGGAGCGCAGACTGAATACCTCAAGTCTCCAAAGAACCCTTCTTGTCCTATACCTAGCAATTATGGTCCCTGAGCGGTGTTTTTATTTTTACAGAGCACTGCTGTGTTTTTTTGCATCAGACAGCGATAAGCGTTTGTGTGGTTGTGCTCGATACTGGCAGTTTGAATCTCCGTAGGTTTTATAAATTATTTTGGAGCCACAGCATTTGACATCTCTGCCTGGTGCAGGATAACAGTATCTTCAAAGGCACAGGAGTCCCACACCTGCCTCTGCCTTCTCTTGACGTGCAGGCGCTCAAATCCTGGAACATGCCTTGGAGCCAGATACTCCAATTATAGCCAGACACACCCTGCTAATTAAGCAGTGTTGTGACCTTCCTAGTAATTTAGCGTGCAAGCTTTGATTTCCCTCTTCCCTCCTAAGCCCCATATTTGGATTTAAGCTTATGAGGTGTGGGGTAAGAGTGTGTTAACTCTTCATTTTCTGGGGAAGATGATATAACCCAAACCTCAAATGTGTCATAGACAAGAATTTGGGTGAAAGACTATTTAAAACTCTGGTGAATGGCTTTTTATCTGTTTCTAGGGGTCCCGAAGACACCTGTTTTGAGTATGGGGTTTTCCCTGCGATCCTGAGCTTTCCGCTTGACTACCCACTAAGTCCTCCGAAGATGAGGTTCACCTGCGAGATGTTCCATCCGAACAGTGAGTCTGATGCTGCAGGATGTGTGGGGGAGAGGGTTGCTTGTGCACCTTAAATCCAAACTTCTGCAGCAGGAGAGCTGACATCCTTACCGAGGGTGGTTCTCGCCCTTTCCAACCTCAAATATGCAGGAGTATTCAGCTGCTCAGCAACTTTGCTCTGTCTTAAGGTCTCTTTGTCCTGTTATTCCTCATCTACCTTTTGGTCATGAACGGTCCGATGAAGATTCCAACAGTTTAACCCCGTTTAAGATCATTCCAGGAATACCTGTGCCTATTGTGTAGGTCGTCTAAAGGTAAATCTCCTTTATATGATGTGAGATTCAGTGAATTAATGCAGACTCTTTCTAGTCTTGCTCTGTGGCTTGTATTTAAGTAGTTTGGTGTTATTTTAATGAGAGAAGATGTTTTCATATTCACCAAAGTGGGGATGCGGCTTTGTTAGGCAGTATGGCTTTTTCCCCACTCAGTCACAGGTTTAGTAACATTTCTGATGTGATCTTTCTGAAATAGAGTGCTCTGTCAAAGCAGATGACACATTTGCAGGCATTTAAGACTCCTGCTGGCCTTTCCTCTGCCATTCTGGTGGTGACAATATTATCCCGAGGCTTTTCAGTGGAAGTAATTGAAGTACCAAGTACAGATAACAAGTTTGAGCTTTGGACGGGTGAAAACCTTAAAGCCCTGTTTCACAGCATGGAGTGCTACTTTCTGGAATGTCAGCTTTGGCATTCCTTGTAAAATTGTTGCTTATGACGTGCTGAATCAACATGGATTTTGTCAAGATTGTTTGTCATCACCCAGATTTGATGGGCTGGGTCAGTGTTCGAGGCTATTAGGTCTCTGCTACCTGAGAGCACTAAAAGGAAAGCGCTGCCCTCCTGCCTACTGTTTCCTTTCCAGCTGAACTTCCTGCGCTTGCATCACACAAATCTTAATCTCAGATGGGAATCTATTTATTTCCTCCACTTAAAGGAATTTTGCAATTTCTTGATGTCCTTCTCTTCTTCCCTTCTCAAAGCATCACTGATGCAGATTCCGCCCATTTAATCCACACCTTTCTAGTCTCATATGGAAGATACCTGCATGTCACAGTGTAGAACTGTGCAATCGTGGTCGAGGCAGCGTAGCATCACCTCTGAAGCGCTGATGTCAGCAGCAGTGCAGCTTTGGCACCTGGAAGCAGTGTGGCTGCATCGGCACCTTGCTCCAGTCAGAGTAATTCAGTCAAACGTCTTGGCAGGACTGGTCTCGTGAGCAAATCCGTGTCCACACAGCACTCTGCAGCTCCAGTTGTGGCCTGGGCTGGAGGATGGCTGCTCACAGCTGCTTTGTGTGCAGCACAGCCAGGAGGAGCGGGGTGTGGAGCTGCACAGACCACCTGACTCTCGTGTTAGTGTGGCTCTACACATGGGTGCTTCCTCCGTGGGGTTGACTGGAACCCACTGGATGGTCAGCTGGGCGCTTTGAAATCCCATTGCTCTGGGTGATGTTAATCTCAAGTTGTGATCACCTGAAGTAGACACTTAAATCTTTCTTCTGGGGTGGGGTTGTGATGGTCTGGTTATGCCCGGAAAGGCTGTGGAAGTGGGTGGCTGTGCAGTGCTTTTTTGTGAGGAATTGCAAGGGGCATGTTTAAAAAGTGTTCCCTTATCTTTGCAGTTTGTGTTACGTACAGGGGGAACTGAGACACCGCAGAACTACCTTCTCTCAAAATAAAATTATGTTCTGGGCTGCTTTGGCAAAGAGAACTTCCGAGTAGCCATCAGTGGCAAGTCTTAATTAGCACTGAGTGACAAAGTGGGAAGAAGCGTACGTCTCCCTGGAATTGGCCTCTGCTGTCTTGAGCATGCCGCTGTGGTCCGGCTATTTAAATGAGGCACTGCTTAAAGGCATTGTAGAGTAACTTACAAGTGAAATACTGCCAGTGTGTTCCCAGCCTGCACGGAGAAGTGCTGATTCGGCACGTGCTGTTTTCATCTCTTCCAGCGACGGCTAGACCAGCGCCAGTCCCCAGTCTGGGGCTACAGGAGGGGATGTAAATACAAATCTTCCAGCACATTTATGTGGTGCAGGCTTGTGCAGACGTTAGCTGGGTGAATGGAAGGAACTGGAAGTGAGCACGACTGCTTCCAGCGGTCATTCCCTCTTTGTTTTCTCTTGTTTTCCTGGCAGTGGTGCAGGTTTGATCACCTGAGGAATAGAAGCACTGAAAATACTGGACTAAAGTCATTGTTCCTTGGGAGGCTGCAGAATTAGGCTGTGTTGCTAAAGCAGCGTTTCGAACTCCATTCTGTCTGTGTTACCTCTTCAACCTTTCTTTGGCCTCATTATCAAGTCAGTGTCTCTGAAGATGACTTGTGCTATTGCTTTTCTTATGCTAAAGGCGGAAGGGGAAGACGTCTGCATCCTTAATTGATAGGTTACCTTTCATGTGCTTTAATGCAGCTGAGCTTTAAGCAAAATTGCTTTTCTTCTAATATTCAAAATAAGATCAATTATATTGTTTATAACGTAACACTTTTCCCTCCTTACTGCAACAGAGCAAGTTTCCTGAATTCTTTTTATGATCATAGTCCAGTGGAGGATTCCAACGTGCATTCAGGGCTGTGTGACTGTTAACTTTGATTTAAGTAGGACTGGTTACCTTCTTGGAGCTGTGCCTGTGCATGAGTACTTGCCTTGTTCCACCAGAGTGTATCTCTTATTTTTTCCATGGAGCCAGTCGCTGGTTACGAAGTGACATGAGTGCTCCCAGCAGGTTTCTCTTGGCGAAGGGTGACCTGAGTTTGTTAGATTTGCTAAAAGAAAATGTTTGCTGGGTTTTTGTCTTTCAGATTTTGTGTTCTCTTGCCTTTGGAAGAGGAAATTTAAAACTGGGTTTAGCTTTAGTCATATGAAGGCCAAGGCAAATACTCAGCTGTGCTACAGAACTGGAGAGGCCAAGTGTTTACACTGACTAACAATCAATCCCCTCTGCTTCTTGTGCAGTTTACCCAGATGGGAGAGTTTGCATCTCTATTCTTCATGCTCCTGGGGATGATCCCATGGGATATGAGAGCAGCGCCGAGCGGTGGAGTCCCGTGCAGAGTGTGGAAAAGATCCTCTTGTCTGTTGTTAGCATGCTGGCAGGTAAGGACTGCTGTTTTATTAGCAGTAGCTCTGATAGCAGTTACCAACTTAGCTAGAGCTGCTTCTTGCTGTTTGAGTTGGCAAGTGAGAAAAGGACATTAAAAGCTGCTCAGCAGCAACCACAGTTCTTAAAGCCCTAGTATTTATTTACTAATAAACCAGTTTTCTGAAAAAATGGAAAAAAGAAGGCTGAATTCGTAAATGGGTGTTTCCAGCCCTGCGCGCGACTGCTCTGCTTTCCCCCCCAGTCAGCAGCAACCGAGCAGAGGGGGGTGGCCAGGTGAGGTCCAGAGGCTCGGCTCGTTCCCTGCTTCTGCACAAAACCTGTCTTTGTATTTGCTGTCATGTCTGTTCAGCTCCTGCAGGTCTTAAAGCTATTAATTACAGCCTGGGTTGGATTTGGCTTTAGCAGCTGAAGGGTTACCAGCCAGATCAAATCCGTACAGTGAACTGCAGTCTGTGGCCTCTGCGATTCATGAGCCAGCACCCCCCATTTCTGTTATTTGCCAGCCTGGGAATGTCCCCCATTCTGCCATCTCTGTTTCAGAGGAAGGCTTCTTGAGAAGAGGAGGGTGGGGTGAAAAACTTTCTGTGCAGCCTTTTAAATGGCTTTCCCTGAGTCCAGCAAGGGCTCTGGATCAGTTCTGCCATGTGCAGTTCCCTGAAAGATAAATCCTTGTCCACACGGTGTGCAGAGCCACTGAACTGCTCGAAAAGGGGTCCCTTAGAATTGGTTTTGAATTATAGTAGTTTTTAGAAGGTTTAGAAGCAGCAAAGTTGATCAAAGAGCAAGCAACAGATTCTTACATGGGACTGGTTTAGCTTCAGGGTAGTAACCTACTGTTGGGAAGCTCTGCAAACAGTACCGTGCTGGGCTTCCCGTGGCCTCCAAGAATTTGGTTTGTGGTGCAGCCTTACTGGTTAGTGTGGGAGTCACCTCGTCTCTCTCGTTCCTTGCCTGTGTGTCCTGTTTTCCCATGGCTTTTGGGGGAATTAGTCTAAACCAAGAAACTGCTCAGCTGCTTTCAGGCTGCTGGCAAACTCGGCTCTGGCTCTGCAGGTAGGCCCAAGCTTATCAAACTAGGTGACCTGCACATCTACTGCCTTTTAAGGGCAGACAGTCAGCATTCTGTTAAGAAAGACGTGAGCCCAAGGTGTCTGCCGTGGGCTAGGCTGGGGTGGATTCGGACTAGTGTGTGAAGCAAGATGGGTAGAGTATGTTCTGCCTGAGTGACTTGTGTGATCCCGTGACAGTGTCCCGCTGTGTGCTGACCACGAACCTGACGAATCCTGTGTCCCAGCTTACCTCTGTACAAAATGAAGTGTGGGAGTCACGGGGGCTTAATGTACTTTGTAAAGCGCTCTGAAATCCTTGGATGAAAGGCGTTGCAGAAATGAAAGCATTCTATGGGTTTCCTTGGTTTGTTTTGTTGGTTTTTAATAGAACAAGCCATCCCAAATTGTGACAGAGCCTGTTTGGGTGGCCTGGTCGGGAGGGCTTTGTGTCTGTGAAGCCGCAGAACCAGAAAAAACCCCCACATTTTGGAGGGAGCAGTGTGCAGTTTTAAAAACCCTTGGTGGCACTGGTGGTGCTGCATTGTGGTGTTCACGTGCGTGCTGGGCTCCACTGCTGAGAACACAAACAAAGTCTTGCTCCTCTGCCACTTGTTTCTTACCTAAACCCAGCCTTGCTGTGATGTTCTCTTGGGATCAGTTAAACGGGAACCATTCGGGAACCCAGCAGCTGCTGTTGGGTTTTCTGTAGGAGTGGTTCTGTAGTCCCGAGCAGGGGAAATGTGCCAGAGCCCGATGGAAGTGGCATTACTGAAAAAGCGAGAGGGTTTTGCTCCATTGCCTGCCTCCATTGCCTGCCTGCCCACTTATCCTTCAGCCTTTCTCGTTTCAGAGCCAAATGATGAAAGTGGAGCCAACGTAGATGCCTCCAAGATGTGGCGGGAAGACAGAGAACAGTTTAACAAAATTGCCAAGCAGATTGTGCAGAAGTCACTTGGACTTTAAGCTCACAAAGACACTGAAGTGTTTTCTATTTCTCTCCACCTGACAAACGAGCAGTGCTCAGTGCTGGTACCAAAAAGGAAAACTTTGCAAAACTATCGGCCTAGTTCTTCTTATCATTCATTATTTATTTACCATCTCTTTTCTTCTTCTACTGCTCCAGAGAAGCCTCTAGATCACTCACTAAATTGTGTGGAAAAGGGACTTGATACTAGGGAAAAACACAAAGACAATGCTGTTTCAAAGGCTGCTTGTTGCTACCTCACTTCACGGGATGGAAATCTTGGAGACTTCCCAAACTGCAGCCCGCTTTCACCAATCTGCCGTTGGAGAACAGAGCTGGTTTGGATCACCTGCTGGAAGAACTAGCTGTGTGGTTTTACAGGTAGTGTCGCATCTGGAGCGCCGCTAGACAGGGAATAGTCTATCCATTTTATGACAGTCGCTAAGTTAAGGACAGCATTGGTAGCCAGAACTGATTTGAAGGGTGTATTAGCAGGAGAGGCTATAAAACGAGGTGATAGGACGCATTAGCAAAGGAAGGGATTGTGCAGGGTGAAACTTTCGGAGAAGATCCAGGGAGTTACCAGGGGCTGGCTGGGGGTCTAGAAGGGGCTGGTGTTCCCATGTAACACTGTGAGATTGTATTGAGCCTTTGAGTCAGTGTTTGCTCACAAGAAATCCCAAGAGCTGCTTTCTTACTCCTTAAAGACAGCCAGCTGTAAACTTTACGTTCAGATAAAGGTGCATGACATGAAGGATTCTTAAACGCCATGGTTGGGCTCATCATGGGCGAGGTAGGTCATCGGCAGCCTGAAAATCCAGGGAGGGTATGTCCACTCCACTGGGCGTGTGAAACGTCTCTGCGCCGATGCCAGCTCCTCTTCTGTTGACGTGTGGGCTGAGAGGATCAGGCAGGCCTTTGCCATTGCAGCCCAGGTACCCGATTTTCCAGTGAATGAGTGAAGACGAACGTGATGAATTTAGTAAAATGAACCGGAACGCTTCTTTATGCTGACTGCTCTCGTGTATTTAAATTTGCCTCGGAGAAGACACCGACTGTGTTTTCTAGAGGATGGTACGACACGTGTTGAGAACTGCAGAGTATTGTAGCCGACGCCGGTATGGAGGGTGTGGGAAGTACCAGCTGCAGCGACGAGTTTGTGAAGCTGCGCAGGGACCGCTGGTGACCTTTGTGCTTTGCAAGCGAATCTCTCGTGTGGGTCCAAACCTTCTCCAGTTTACTACAAGCAATAACATGCCCGTTGATAGCACATGGAATCAGATTTTGTCGGCAGCTTTAAACGGACTAAATTTGAGAAGGGCTTTTTTTTTTTTTTTCCTGTGGAAAGGAGCAGGAAGTTTTCCTGTGAAGTTGCACGGTGGAGAAAGCTTTATGGAGGTGATTCTATGCATGTGCATGTGTACAACTCGTCAGTATTTACGTCTTGCTGTCCGTGCTGCATATTCACGTGCTGCAGTATGCCATCGTTCTGCACCTCTGAAGTGTTGGTATTGCTACAACTTGCTGATTTTTACCTCCTTGTAGAAGTAATTCTTGCTTTGGTGTGAGGGTGGGAGGGGAACCTGACATAGTTTGGGAGCAGAGATGATGAAATAGTGTTGTACCTATGTAGTATTTCAAGGCATACAGGAAAATGTAGCACTTATATGCAAACTGGGAGCATTCTTTTTGAATTGTAGTAGCTGGAGCGTTACTCCTGGGAGTACCGCAGCCGTTTTTGGAAACCGCTGGAGAGCTGCAAGTGCCACGTGGGCAACGATGGGGTCAGCAGACGTGGCAAAAGCGGGCTTTTTTAAAGTGAGGAGTATTTTATTCATGTGTGCTCACTCGTTACCTTTATTTTATGGTGGGATTTAGTCTGTATACTGAAAATAAAGTGATTATATTTTCTCCTTTCATAGATGGATGCAGTTGTGTTGTGGTGGGTGAATAATTTGGCTCAACTAATTGGCTTGATTTAGAATTCAGGTGCTTTGGGCCTTGTAAGTAATACTTATTTGGCTTGAGTAGAAGATTTCTGTATGGGCAACCAAGAGGTCAAGAGTGTCCAATTCTGACTTGGTACAAAGGTGTCGAAGGGTTTATTCTAACTCAGTTACAACACAGGGGATGCCTTGGAGGAGAGGGAGAGTTGACGTAGTTGCTTGGGCTTTCCAGGCAAGTTTCTTGTCTCTAATGATGGCAATGACTTGATAATTCAAAGAAAACTACAAAAAATTGGACAGCCATTGGGTGTGATGCAGTTTGCTTCTTACAAAGGTCTTGTTAAGATCCGTGTGTCTGGCCTAGAAAGGTCTTGCTGTGGCAACAGGTGAGTTGGAAGTTTTAATACGTCGTTGAAAGTTTGCTGGTATTGGCTCTTGGATTTGAGAAGGATGGTTAGGTGTCCTGTTCCTATAGAGAATTTCCATAGTCCCCCTGTCTCCGTTGCTGAGAATTGAAATCATGTAAGTGACTGGCATGCAGCGGCCTTGCTGACTCAGGGGTTTCAGGCCACCCGGTGAACATGTATACCAGGCAGGCTTGCAGGGGATAAAACGTAAGCAGAAGTCCACCTCAGAGGACTAAAACGTGCCTTGTCGGGGAGAGAAAACTGTCCTGAACTGCCTGCTTAGCTGAAACCGGCGGTGGGCACTGCTGCTCGTTGAAGGGCACCGCAGTGGGTGCGGGAGGCTCCCTGTTTGTTTTACTCGCAGGGAAGAATTCGCAGCTTGTTAGGGCTGGGGAACACACCTGAGGGTTCAACTTGCAAAGCTGCCGTGTGGATCCTGTGATAACTTCCCTGAAAGGCTTAATCCTCTCCCGCCGTGAAAGAACAGTCATGTTGGCGGCTTGTGTCATACTAGCCTGTAGCCATGTTTTTCTGAGCGGTTGCCTTTTTTCAGTCTGAAACAGTTACTGTAAAGCGTGTTCCTTGAGGAGTGTTGGAGCTCTACTGGTGTTAAGCATACAGGTAAAGTATTAAAGATTAAAAAAAACCTTTCTCTGGATTATATGCACTTTAGGCTTTTATATTTAAAAAAAAAACCAAACCAAAACCCTTCGACAAAGCCGTAAAAATGCAAGCAACGTCCTCTTTAAAGCTTTTGTATATACCTACATGCAGGCTTTTTTTCCTTGGCAAATGGGGCCGCGTCGGAACACACACGGCGGGATGCGAGACATGCGTTAATGCTGTTTGTGTGCATGCGAGCGGTTCTTTGGAAGTGCGAGCTGCTGGGCGAGAGGCGTTGGAGCCACATGAAACGGCTGCAGCTCCGGGGCACAGCCAGCCCCGGGCTCCCTTCCAGCATGCTTTTTATTTTTTTTTCTGGCTGGAGCTATGTCATGAATGGAAAGTGGTATGTTATTTTCGAGGTGAGATGGTGGAAGGTCCGCGTCTCTGGAAGATCCTTGCTTTCCTCCTGAAGTTGCGTGTTGGTGAGGATGCTGTGTGTGTTTTACCCCGTGAGAGTTCAAAGGAGGGATGGCACAGACCCCATATGTCCATCCCAGTGCCACCTGTGCTGCTGATACCGGGATTATCTTGGATGTGGGATCAGTGCAGCTCCAGAAAGGGGCTGGAGGCAGCAGCCTCCCCTGCCCCATGGTGTGGGGCAAGGGCTGTGCGTGCTGGCCGAGCCAGGACAGCGGCAGGGCACGGAGATACGAGCGTGGGCAGTCCCTGCGCTGCCCAGGCCCACAGGTTACCTGCCCCGTGTCGCTTCTCTACCGGATTTCCCTGCTCGGTGGAAGAAGAAAATCACTCTGCCTTTCCAGGAGCTCTGGGGTGGGAGGAGTGTGAGCTGAGGGATGCTGAGGTTCCCGCTGGTGGCATGGTTGGGGTGGCACGGGGAATGGGCAGGAGTCTGGAGAACTCCTCTAGCACCTGAGGGGGTCTCATTGGGATGAGCTGCCCTCCCCATGTGCTGCCGGAATGGCAAAGTGGCCCAGCCCCGGCACCAGCCCCAGCAAGGGCTCCTGCAGCCGCGGCCCACCCGATGTCACGTGGCAGCCCCCCAATGCTGGGGAGGGAATTGCTCCAGTCGCTAATGCTCAGTGGTCCTTGCGGCAGTCCCCCCCGGAGCAGGGTGTGGCTGGAAGATCAGTGCCAGCCCCGTGTCTCCAGCCCTCGGGATCTTCCTGCCCATCCCAGCTCTGATCCTCGCAGCCACCTGCCAGATCCTGCTCCTGCCTAGCCTCCAGCCCCTCTCCCAGGGCAGGGGGTGGAAGAGCCAAAGGAGAACCAGCCAGATGGCTTTTGAAAGCGGCCCGCACCCCCTGAGATGTGACGTAGCAGCAGTTCAGATTATGGGGTATGTAAATGTATAATTAGCGGTAACGATACGGACGGGGGGTTATTACAGGGCGGCTGCCGGCGTTAGCAGCGTGTGCTTTTTTCCCGGGGAGCCGTGTGCGAGCGGGTCTGTCTGGTCATGTCGTTCCTGAAGGGTGTGGGGGGAGATGATCCAAGTCCTGGGCCGAGCCCCCTTCCTCTGTGCCTACGGCACCAGCCCTCAGCCAGGCAGGGCTCTCCAGGGACACCTCGGTGCGCTTCACCCAGGGGTGCGGGCAGGAGTCGGACGGGTGCTGCTGTCACGGCTCTGCAAGGTCACCCTGGCTGGAGAGGGTGCCAGGGGTGCCGCGAGGGTGGGCACCCTGGGACAGCGTTCCTGGGGCTGCAGAGCAAAAGGGGACGTAGCTGCTGCTGCCGCCCCTCGGGGGGCTGCGGGTGACGCGGGAGGTGGGTTCAAAGCGGCAGAGATGCAGGATGCAACATGCCGGGGGGCACCCACGCGCTCGGGTGCTGGGCCCAACGCAGGGAGACTTGACGCCCACAGACGGGAGTTTTGTCCCAAAACAGTTTTTCCCATGCCAAAACAATTTTGGCAAATTGAACC